TAGCAAATGTCACCAAGTTTAGTTAGAAATTACAGATAGTAATGTATACATTATATTACTTACTACAATACTACTTAATTGTTAATTATTAAGTCATTACAAAATATATTTTCTGTTTTACGACAATTAATTGAGCGGTTTAACTGTTTAAGACTCATGAACCAAATCACAACCCACTCATTTCGAAAAAATAAATATATTTACTAATAGGTACATTAACCATACGATTTTTTACAAAATATTTTATGAATTCATTTCATTTTCTATTACGAATACATTGCGAGAATATAAATAATTATGTTCAAAATATAAAATCATCAACTACCTAATAGTCCTAATATAATATATTATATTATATATTTGTATAATAAAACATAAAAATAATCATCAATTTTAATTTATTGATTAGTTACTCAGACATGAAAAATTTACTAACCAACTGTAAGTAAACTTATATAAATGGCTCAATATTCGATTAAATATAGCTGAGAAATTTGAAAAAAATACTCATTAGCAAAATTCTGTGAATTTGAATGCCTATTACTTATTATTTTATTGATTATTACTAATTATTAATTAATAAATTACTATATATATTAATAACCAGGATATTAGAGCTCAATTTAAATTTTACATCAAAAAATTTAAGTGATACATTTTTGCACTTACAATTATCAATTGCCTTTTTTTTACATTAACAATTTTAACTAATAAATTAAATTATTAATTTTTCTAATGATTATTTTATTAACGTTATATTGCTGTTTTATATTATTTGCGAAGTTGGACGTTTAAACTCAACGTCAGGAGGTCAAAGACTTAGAAAGAAGGATTCGATCGTGTAGCCAACATGAGATGAACTGAACTAGGTACCTATCTTAAATTTAAATAGGTATGTTTGATTTATTTATAATTTTCAAATTGTTCTACTTTCATTTGTTTGAAATCAGCATTATACAATTTATTCTGAACTACATTTAAAAATTTAAAACAATGATCAATTGTACGGAATAAAAATATTATAAATTACCACATCTGCTTAAGGAATACGGAAACACTGCTGAATGAATAAAATATTATTTAGTGTATTACAGATTACTTTTAATCACAAGATTTGGAAAACAATTGAAAAAGGAACAACGATGATAAAATGAATTGATAAATGATGGCTACAACTCATTTGTACACATTTACCTTTTTTACAACTCGTTTGCGCACAATTTGCAAACAATAAAAACCTTTTTTCAAAGAAATTTACACATGTAAGAGTGAACATAATCTGCGTACGTACCTACAAATTTTCGAATTGGTCATTAACAGGGCTGTGCATTTAATGCACTAAGAAGTGTTATGTATACATGCATTTTTGCACTAAAAACAGACAAAATATGCACTAAAAAATAAAACACGCAAATGTATTAAACTCATAGCACTGGTCATTTTAATGATTGTAGAAAATTATTATACTTTACAACATTTTCCTTCACTATTTATAAAGCTTTAGACTTACAGTGTAATCATATTCTGGTATCATTGACTGGTGGGTTTAAAAATACTGTTTGAGTTATTTCATTTAGCATAGCTTTCTAATGGTCAATAAGCCATTATTTATTTTTTACAATTTTGTTAATTAAAAAAATAAATAACTTTAACTATAATTACAATAATTTTTTTACAATTAGTCCTTAAAATAATACATACTAAAAAATAAATTCAAATAGTACATATTTATTATACATTGGTTGGCGTTTGCATTAAATATGTTAAAATGTTAATTTTTTAGGTTTATAATCAGAGTATATTTTTTTCATATAATTTTGTTTTTTTAATATTTCGTTTCTATGGGTATTTTTTTATTTTATTTTTTTATTGAATTAATTTAGTATCGATTAAATTTCCATTAATATTTGAAGTTTTAGATTATAAATAAAGTAATAAATATTAAAGCTTGTCCCACACGACTTATGTACTTGGCAAGCACAGTAACCGTGATTATTATAACGTATTATTACTGTTAGGTGACAACTGATGGGAAACCACGATTGAAAATAATCGTTATACTATAAGATACCCTATACACCCAAAACTGTACCTAAAAATAGGTTTCCATTGTTCACAATTTTGTACGCAAACGAGTTGTCGCAAATTTATAAAATCTATTGGTATATGCGTAAACGAGTCTCAACCTAAATGCTATCAATTAGCAAAAATGATTAAAATCATAAATAAAATAATTTTTGTCTCATTATCATAGTAAAAATTAAAAATATAAATATATTCTTCTCAAAATATAAAAATAATACATGAATTCCGTTTCAAATATTTCAATATGTAACCCCTAGCTCTCACGAAAAAAAAAAAATTAATTCGATGAATAAATTGGTTTTACTATAATGTATATACATGTGTTTTAATTTATTATTATTAATTGCATAACTTTAAATAGATTGCAAATGATAGTTTTTATTGACTAGGTACCAAGAATAGAATTTTATGACAAGTACCTATAAGCAAATTCTAGGTTACAGTTTATTATTTGTGATAAAAACCTATTACATTTAGATGAAGTATCATTTGAAAAACTAGCATTGTGATGTTTTGCCAATTAAAAATCAACAAACAGTAGGCAAGGGTCTAAAAAATGTATATGGAAAACAAGTTGTTAAAATAAAAAATAATATTTATATTATAGAAACGCATTGTGTGACTTTCGTGTCATTCTAGCTTAATTTATTGTAACAAGTAGTAACTGTTTTCAATTAACGTTTTTGAAAATATTTTTCTTACATAACAGTCGAAATAAAACAACCTTTGAAAATAAAAAATTATATTTTTAAGTTTTTACTTTTTTAAATAACAATATACATTTTTAGAATGTTATAATTATTTAAAGTTTAAGTGAGCGAAGTTTCAGATCAACATTTTGCGGACTATGTCCGCACCACTCTCACCCTAAACTTTAAATACTTATAACATGTAAACTATTCGTCTGAGTTTTAATTTTTGTGTATCAAAACACTTAGAAAAATATTCTGTTTAAGAATATGAATTAATTTAAAAATACTTGTCGTTCAAAAATGTGTTGTTTTATTTCGACTGCAGATTAAGTAAGAAAAATATTTTTTAAAAAGTAAATACATTTTAAAATAATGAATGGGTTGATAATAAAAAAAATTACTTAGTATATTATAGAACTCTACGCAATACTATACATGCTATAGAGTTACCAAGTTTTTAATTAGAAATCATGAATGAGATATTGTAGCAAATAAAATTTTATAATCTTATTTATCTAACATTATATTTTATGATAATTTATAGATTTTAAAAACCATACTATTAAGTTAGGATAGTTTATCTAAATACGATAATATAACAAGTTACTTCTAAGAATATCGATGTCTTATATTTGAGTAGGTACTTAATATTTATAATGTATAAATGATTTGCTAATTATTGTATACAGTTTATTTTTTTTAACACACACTTACCTAAAATTATATTTTTGTCAGTTATTTTACTATTTGATTTTATTTATTTTCACATGTTTTTGATTAAAAATGCAATAGCGCTCAAGATTAATTCAAGAACATTTATGTTCTGATTAGCGCTTTTATATATATAAGTTTATTAATAAAGAGAATAGATATATACCAGTAACCAGTATATGATATTGTAATGAACAAATAATTCGCAAAAATGTAGAAGCAAAAAAAATTTTGTTTCGCATTAATAAGTTTTGATATTATTTAATAAGTTAAATAAAACAATTTTATACTACAAATCACAATAAATTTAGTAAATTTAATAGTTATTGATACTGATACAAGTATTAATATTATATTATAATATATTGAGTAAATATTGTATTATTATAGAAATTATTCAAGGATGAAAAAATATTTTTCCCTCCTTTTTTAAAAACTCTCAAAGTATACCACTGGCTCACTAACAATTAGCAAACATATTATAGTTCATAGCCCATAGGTAATGAATAATTTTTTTAATGATCTGGCCGTACAAATAGTACAGTTACAATTTTAAATTAAGTAGTAAAACAGTTACAATATTGTTAATTAATGTAAGCACATTTTTAGTCCATACAGAACACCTAAAATGAATATGTATATTTAATTTATCATTTGCGTAATATTACAATTTATAAGTCTTTTTATTTACAATATTCATACATTTTGAACTTAACCATAAATTTTAAGTTTCTGTTCTTTCAGTATATTTTAATTTTTAGAATTAAAATTAGTTCACAAAACTCATTATTTTATAATGTTAACTCCAGTATTAAATTAAATCTAAATTTAAAAAAGAAATCATGCAAAACATGAAATAAGTTGTTTTTATAAAATATAATGTATAATAAATTATTTATAGTTGAAAATAATAATAGAACAATGCTTACAAAAAATATAAATATTTGTTAAAAGACTATAAAAAAATAATATACTATTAATTTTGAAACAGTTAAAATAGACTATATTAAGTTATTACACAGTACCTACTCAGTACTGTGGTACAAAAGATGGGCCAGTTTTTTTTTTGTTTTTTTTGATGAACCATGCATTTTTAATCATTAATGAATAGGTAAGCATTTCCATACTTATTAAAAGTAAATTAATTTGACATTTTAAATTATATAAAATTAGTAGCTTTACCACAAACTATAAATGCAAAAAAAAAATTGAAATATATAACACAATGAAATTATATTTACAAAAAAAAATTTCAATTTACAATGAAAAATATAATTTGAAACCTACTGTAAACATTTCATAGCTTTCAAATTCAGTTTTGTTGAATGTTGAAATATTATTTTTCTTAATCTTAATCTTAACTTATATTTAAGTTATTTAGTATAAAACTAATTTAATTTGATTAATTAATTTACAATTGTCTATGTTGTTCATTTAAAGGTAACTTATTCTAAATATAATAATTAATTAAATGAATACACATACAATAAATAAAATAAACAATTAGCTATATTTTTTTCATCACTAAACCTTGTAAAACTATAAATAAATAATATATAATTATCATCTATTATCACTTTACAGTGCATGATCACATTGTTTTAACAAACTATGTTTACATGCCATATTTTTAATATATAAATTTGCAAGTGAACAAATATTCAATACGGTACAATTAAATTGAACAAAATTATTCAAAAAAGTATTCCATTGATTTTAAAATGTATACCGATTGACAATTAATCATCTCTTACATTTTGATTTCCGGTAGAAGTGATCACACTGGTCAACATGTCTCTAGAGCCCAATTGTTCCATTGATTGCCCATTACTTATAAAATTAAAAAAAAAAAAAAAACTTAGTTATAAAACAAAATTATTATTACATAATAATTAGTACATTGAAATGAAATATTTTAGTTCTATACTTAATTATTATAAATATTACTTAATTCTCTGAAAAATTAATTTAAATGCTTACTTTAACCCTACTTTATCATCATACCTTTATTTTTATAAATATATATGTAGCACAATAAATAATAGGAATAAAAAATATTCATTTTTTTTCAAATAAAATTTGGAAATGCAATGCAAATTTCAAGCTTACAACACAATTCAGCCAATATACATAGTTTTTCTAAAATGTAGGTGATTCACTATATTATTATTTTTTACTGGATTTATTTATTTATTGGAAGTTGTTTTCTATATTTATATAAGTTTATGATAAAATCAAGAAATTACTTTTTTTAAATAGTAACTATGTAAAATTATGCATACAACATTTAAAGCACATCTTTTAGATAAAAAAAAATGTACATTACTTGCTTATCTCAGAAATGGCTTATCAAATTTATTTCTTGGAAAGTTTAAGGTAAAGTCTCTTATTTCAATTAAACATTTACACTCAACTTACAATATTCCAAACTTAATAACTAGAATCAAATTTATGTAGTGAAGGTTTTTAAAATATTTAAATTTATTTACTTAGATGTATGGCGGTTAAGGTTTGTTGGCGGTGGGGGTAATGAAGGGATGTGAATTTGAGAGCTGTGAGGCAAAAAGTGTTCTTGTGATGTCATCACTGCTTGATCATAACCAAGATGTCCATGTTGATGTTTATTATCTGAAGAATTAGTAAACAAGTGAGGAAGTAGAAGCTTTGTCACTTCTCCTATAACATAAACGTCATATTATTATTATTATTGCATATAAATAGAAAATAATATTAATTATAATTTTTGAATTTTAAATAAATACTTAACTCTTAACCTTTTTTATCCAGTTAATATTTTAAAATTAATTAACTATTGACTGTTGCAATGTAAAATAAAAATATAAGCAATATAAAAAGCGCCTTACAAAAAAGTAAACGCAACTTATTCTACAATTATACATTTCAAATTATAATGGATATCTTTTTCTAGTAATTTCTCTATAGCCTATATTCTTGGTTATATCATTGGTTTTAGAATATTCTTAAATCAAGGTATATTATAATTTTTCAAACTATAAAAATATTCAATATATCTTATAATACTTTATAATTTTAAAGAAAATATTGAAATTATCTTAAGAGTTAATAATACTTTTATATTTCAATTTTTATAAATTATAAACTAATAATGATTTTAATAATAGTTTAATTTAAATGATGAATAATCTAATAATGGTATTACAACTGAGTTTTAAACTTAAATATTATAGTATAATTATACAGTAATTAAACAATTATTTACGATTTAAAGTAAGTAATTTTTATGTGTAATGCGTTTTAAAATTATGTAATTAAAATTTCACAGTACAATAAATAATAATAATTATTAAATCGTATTTAATTTTTAAGTTATGTACAATTGAATTAAATCTAAATAAAATAATTAACTTGTGTAAGATTGTATTATTTTGTAGTTTTAGAGAATTACTACTCAAATAGAGTAAACTCGATTTATATATTATCTTTTGCATGTTGGTTTATTTTTATTTTTTTTTAAGTAACTGTGTCTTGTTATGTTATGACGTTTATAAATAATATAATACATGAAACAATTATTTGATATTAATTTCTACTGCTCGTAATATACAAATTTATTATTCATATAGCATTCGATTAAACATGAATAACATTAAACACAGACTTTAGCTAATGAATTTGAATATTTCAATGAATATGCAAAAAAAAAACTAATCACCTATTTATATAGTTTTTAAACTAAGTACGACAAACTCAGCGATGGTACAATAGACATTTGTATAAGCATAGTATTTACAGCAATACTTCATAAATTCAAATATTCAAGGTAAAAAGTAAATTTAAACTTTTATGTTTGGTGAAAGAAGTATGTAATGTGTAGTGTACGTCGAATACTACAATGTGTCAAAACTCAACTCGCTATTATTATTGTATTATTATATAGTTGATTTTTTTATGTCACCGTGTTTACCGCCGCCACGAGATCGTTAAACATTTTTCCTTATCAGCTGTACACCACCTCTAACTCTTTGTGCACTTCACCTCTTATTCCCTTGTGCAAACACTGCAATATTGACACACTCGCTGATAAGACCATAAATCCCATGCACGCGGGTCGTGTCACTAACACTGAGCCTCCCCCAAATGCACACAACATATTTTTCACCGAAAAAATAAAACAAAAGCCATTACCACGTATTTAGGTACCAATATAATATCATATTATATTATTATATTGTATATTGTATATAGAGCCGATTTATTATTAATATTATTACCTTTCTCTTTAGACGACGAGTTTTGGCTGAAACCTCCGATGGACGGGTTTTTTGGTTTCCTCTTTCTCGTTTGTATGCCGTCTTTCTTCATCGTCAACGGCCTATTGACCTGAAATCACCCATGAGACAATGTTTATTTTCAAACCCTAGTTAGTCATCTGGGTTTCCTAGTTAATATTGACACAAACAGCATACAACAGCCATCCGGTGCACGCATAATATGGCGTGGGTACACGGTACACGGTTGCGCGTGCGCGTGAGTGTGTTTGTATATGTGTGTGAGTGTTTGCGTGCGTCTATGACGGAGGTTTAAGGAAAAGGTTTCGCTCTCTGCGGATATTTACTCACCGGGTGACGCGATATGAGCCAAAATAGGAGCCACTGACGAATTAAAAGTAATTATTGTTTGAAAACGAGCGAAGAGGAAACAAAAACGCTTGCCAACCAACATACGGTGCTGGTTTAGCTGTTTAGTCCGCGAGAAAATGTTTGAAACGTTTTATACTTTTATTACTACACCACTGAATATAGGAACAGTAGGCGGTACACACCCGGTTTGGTTCGAGTATATTTTTTTCGTTTTTTTTTCACTTAATATATTACAAATGTTTATTGTTTACGGCGGACGAAAGTAAAAGCCGGTTAGGAAAGACCGAGACACGACGAACGACAATATTATTGAGAAAATACACGAACGAGCAAACAGATAATAGTTATTAGTTGCATATTGTATATTGGATCCGTGGGAACTGGGGATCTGGGATTCGAAAATAGTGTCATGTATATAGTATATTATATACCGATCGCGGAAATTTAAATAATATCTACAAGTTGTCAAACAATATCGAGATAAGTAAAACAAACCATTGGATACATTTTAGAAAACGCTTGTAAATTGTATTAGGACATTTTATGTACAAGCCCAACAATTGACGAATAACAGAATTGTATAATATATAATATTACGTATATCTACTATTATATTTTACTAGCTGATCAAGCTCTGTGTTGTCCATGTTTAACTCCGTTAAACGTAAACTGCACAAATATTCAATAAAATTATTTGAATTTTTTTGACCAATTATTAAGTACAGATTTAAAATATATCCAATCATAATAACTATTTAATTTTCTGTAATATCAATGGTAATAGATATCAGTTTATAAATAAAAAAAAATTATAGTTTTTCGCGAATCAACTAAATTCAAACTGTGATGAAAAGTAAAACTTAGGTAATAAAAGTAGTCTATAATATTACGGATTTTTCCGAATCTTTAAACAAAAATTTTATGAAAATCGATCGATATCGTGGACTTGCATAAAGATCATTTATTTTAGGTCCTTGATTTTATGTAGAAAATATATTTATTAATTATAGGTGGATCTTGCAAAGCGTTACCGTGACAAATTAAAATGCCAGTGGACATGCCCTGTCTTAGACTCTGTTAAATTTAAACTACATATATTTTAACATAGTTATTTGGGCGATTTTAATTAAATATTAAAGGTATTATAATAACTATTTTATTTATTATTTATTAATCAACGACAACCCTATACTAACAAACAAATATTTGTTTTTTGTTTACAAATAAATTCTCGTGTGAGCCCTTTTTAAAATAGAAAATGTAATAAATTAGCTCTGAGGTGCACATCATCAAGTCTATCTTAAATTAATTACATACCGAATTGCAGAACTATGAATGCGATAGACTTGACAGTAGATCGTTTATATACATAAAAACATTGTCTTTTATTAATAAAGATTAAATTAAGCATATCAAAATTTGTGGGGAAAATGTTAGGATTACATTCGCAGTCAATAATAATGATATTGACCGACCTTTATGATAATCTACACATACGCTTCAATGGAATTATAAAAAACCGCTCCGATTTTGGGTATGACTTTGCAAGGGAACAAAACTAATAATAATAATAATAATAATAACAAATATATATTATTATAATATACTACCTATTATGATTATTAATGCCAACTAATGTATAAAATATGACGACGTGTACACGTCAAATAGGTATCGACGTCGTTTAATAATAAAAAACAATAATAAGTATATATAAATACATCGTATTCACGACGATCGTGTATGAACAATAGCTTACGTTGTGCAATTTAAAATAGAGACCACAAGCATTACACACTGGTTCTCCGTTGTTGTTTCGTCTCCACAGAGTCGTCGTATTTGTCGAGCAGTTAGCACAAGCCACTCCGGAACGTTTGTTTCCTGTTTGCTGGAACGTGTCAAACAAAATTTCAGACCATTATAGACGACACTGTGACCATAATATGACATTATTATTATCGCCGTGTAATTATTGTAATATTATAGGAATTAAATATATAATAATATATACACGCGGGTAACTTTAATGTCGATAGTGAGTACATTATTATTGTTACAATTTATCTGTGTACAGCCACAAGCCATACGATCGTATACGGAAAATTTTTTTTCAAGGATATGCATTATGTATTAATTACATGTTTATCGTTTTTGGTTTATTACTTATTGTTAAGGGGTTTTTGTTATTGATCGCCTCGAAGTCGACCTATAGACTATAAAACATGGTGAATATACTGCGATGAGGAGTGTGAATAAATGATAATACGTGCTCGGGGTGGTTTAATCGATCAATACCGCTAAGACGATTATCAAAATATACGATATCGAACGATTTGATTTTTCAATAAACGCATTTAAGAATATTTTTTGCTTTTAAATCCATAACCAGAAAATACTACCATGTATTATATATAATTAATGAAATCGCTTTAATTAATGAAGAAAAGAAAATTAGCTAGTGAACATTTTTCTTAAAATAATTGATAATATGCTCATAGAAAATAAAAATATTACTATTTATTAAAAATAGAATAATTTTATCAGCTCAAGGCAGAAAATTGTTACCTATTATGATTAATGCGGATTCAATGATTTTTATATTATATAAATGCATCTGATTTAGATATAGAAAATCAAGATATTCGAGTATCTACAATTTTTATCAACTAGGTCTTTAATTAAATTAATTTCTAATTTTTAGAATATTATACATATTAATTAAGTACAAGAGCGATGTTCCAATGGTATTATACCCATAAATTATGCGATTAGAATAATAATTTTAAAATTTGATTTATAAACTCTATTAGTTTTTATCCGTCCGTTTCTTTTTCAATGGTTCGTTTTTATTTTATTTATTTTCGTGTTGGTCGTAAATCGTTTAATTGTAACGATATGTTATTATACACATGTTAAACATAGCGCAGTTATTAATCAACTATAATGGAACATTGTATACCGTATTATTGTTAAGTCCACTGGTTACAAATATAATGTATATGAATTATACATTTATAATATAATATACCGGCATAATAATAATAAATTAACACAATATATACGTGTCGTCATAATCGGTTTATCGTGTCATATCGTACTTGGGTAGTTTTCTTTTGCGCGGACCTGACCGGCGGCCGATTCACTCCGTTGATCCTGTTGTACAAGCCGCACGCGTTGCATAGATGATGACCCGTGCCGTCCCTGCGCCACAGGGGCGTCACGTTAGCTGCACAATTCACGCATTCCTTCATGTCCACATTCAGGATGCCGTCTGCGAAAACCAACAAACGACAATTGTCAAAGTGTACTTCATTTGCAGTCTAGTGTCACGGCTATTTGTATATAAATATATAGAACTCTAGGGGCCCGAGAGTAAAAGATTAATTAATTATTATGCATAATTATTTTAAATCAAGCCACTAAGAAGACGCCACGCTCGCATTTGCTGACTCCGTCTTACAAGTGGACAACCTCAGTTCACGTTAAGCTTTATAACTTCGTTACATTAAAAATTAGATTGAACGTATTATGAAACTCAACGGTAAAAACATAATCTGTGAAAGGAAAATTATTATTTTTTTTGCAATAATTCGATTTTTTAGTAAATTATGTGCGTTTTTAAATTTAAATATTTTATAGACACTAAACTCGCTAAAGATTAAATTAGGTACCGTAAGAAACTAACACGTGAATCGCAAATGCAAATAATATTTTAACCGTTAAGTTTTATAATAGGTTAGTCGATTCACTCTAATCTTTAAAACGGAGACAACAAAAGCCGGTATAGCACCCTTACTAAGTGAATCGAATAAACTTTGAACTTATACTCAAAATGTGTAAATACATGTAATATCTATTGTTAGGACGTTGATCGCGACCCCCTTCTCCTTTGTAATTGCGGTACAAAAAAACGTAATATACCGACCGACTAATCGTTAATTGCTTAAATAAATAATGAAATTCACGCGTAGAGTAAACCATCACCTGCGTATACGTACTTTGATCATAGTGTTCGTCGATCCATGACGGTCCGGGGTTACCGGTCTGGAAAATGGCGTACTGCTGAGTCACCTGTATGCTTCCATCCGGCGGTCCTAAGCCGACTTCTTGAATTTGCAGTGCGTTTGCCGCTGCTAAACTTTCGTTTGCCGCCGTTGTAAAGTCTGCCACCTGTTGATCATGGGATCCCCAAAAATCCGGTTGTCCCTCACCACCACCTCCGCCACCGCCACTGCCGTTGACGTCGTTTTGATACTCGGGTTGCTGCTGCTGTTGTTGCTGCATCAAGGTCTGTTGAACGTAACCACCTTTCTGGTGACCGGATTTTACGCCGTAATCTCCACCACCACCGTGGCTTTCCTTGTCATATATGTTGAATATGTCATTCACTGGTTGTTCGGTGTCGTACGTTTGATACGTCTGATACGAGTTCTGTTGTTGGTAATTCTGTTGTTGCTGTTGCTGTTGTTGCTGTTGCTGTTGTTGTTGTTGTTGTTGCTGCTGTTGCTGTTGCTGTTGTTGTTGCTGCTGTTGATAGACGTCCGTCACCGATTCTAATGTTACATAACTGGAATTCGGATCCATTTTACTCTGCTGCTGCTGTTGTTGATGATGTTCGTACTTGATCAGAGGTTGTTCAAAACCACCTCCACCACCACTGCCATCCTCAGGTGACTGTCCTCGGTACTCCAAATATCTGATTCGCTGATATCTCTGATTATGATTTGGAAATTCGGTGGTAGCGACGTACCCATGAAACGTGGGCAACTTTTCCATCGGTATTTGCAAATTCACTTCGGTACCATCCACGTTTCTCCGGAGTCGGATGGCTTCTGCGGGCGGACTATGGTCCTTTTGATACTCATTCGGTGACGCGGCCTCTTCGGGCGTGTGTGCGGCGGGCGTGCCGTTTTCATTAAATCCGTCTATAAGTACCTCCGTCGAAACGCATTCCGTCGTATTATCGGGAGTACAGTTTCTAGATAATCTAAAAGGCAGTAAAAAAAATAAATATATACCTATACTGTACATAAGCAACATACCAATTACATACCTACATACTATAGTATAGATTATACGTATGTGATATATGTAGTATATGCGTATAGTATAATTTGCAGGTAATATAAAACAATTACCTATGCATTAAAAAAAAAAATAAACTAAATAACATTTAAATGGTGAAATTCCATAATAATTACTATTTACATATTATGCGGTTTTAATATTAGACAAACATTGTGCTGTACGGCCATTGCTCTTACCCGTTATGTCCAAAGTCTCTCTGTTGTTGCATTTTCAACTGCGACATTGCGTCTGCCGTATTGCTCTCGTTCCTGGTCTGCCCTTCGACGTTAGGCACGGTGGTTATGTGACCCGACGTCGTAATAGTCCTGATATGTGCTGGGGCGGGTCTTATCACCCCCCTGGAAGTCTCGTCGCCCTCCATGCCCTTTGACATTAATTTATTAAATTTTAATACATGTTACTATTATATATCAGCGAAGTTTGTATTATTATTTATTATGAATATAATAATATATAATGCATATATATGTATATTATGTGTATCACTTTTGAAGTCGAACGACATTGTGTCCAGGACGTTAGAGAGGAACAAACAACGGTCATTATCGTGCCTGTGGGTCAAACTCAAAAGAAGTGAAGAGTGAAGCCGCGGTGTCGACCGCGACTTCCGGACGGCCAGACCGATCAAACACGATATTTTTACGTCATCGACAACAAAAAACGTACGCACATAATATTATGTTATTATTTATAAAAATTAAAAATACAATATTTATATTCTCTACACAAACTTTAGAATAGACGACAAAAATTACACGTTATGCGCGCGCGCGCACATGACACTCATTCTCACTCACACACACACACACACACACACACACATGACACAACACACACGCGGCGCACACAAACGCAAACAGACTATCGGACTACATATCGGGTCTAGGGACACTACCAGACCGAGCGACTAGCGTGAGACTGGTATTTTGGCCTGTGTGCCGCCACGTCGAGTGCATCTTTTTATCTCGAAACCCGATGAGATAAAAACGGGTGCCCCGATATCTTTGTCGCCCGTTTGTTCGATAACATAATGATATTATACACACACAATATATATTCGGAATAGCCGTTGTCTAATCTTACCCCAACTTTCCTGTCAGAGATATCCCGGTTCGCGTGATAAAGACTACAACGACACGAAAAGAATAAATAAATTTACCTGGGCGCTATCGTGCCCGACAGTAGCGTTTCGACGACATGATCGTTCGGTGCGCCATTATCGAGCGGAACGTACGGGAACAACAACAGCAACAACAACAACGACGACGACGACAAAATCGTATACACCCAAAACACCAGGGCAAAGAGTTCTCTACTACGACTGCAACACTCGAGTAATTTACCGCGTTACGAGTAATGGTTTACTACCCGTAACCTGCAGGACGTCACGATGAGCTCGTTTATGCGGTGCGCGTCGGACGGAGGTGTATTGTATAGTGGTGTGGTCGTCGCGCGTTTTTTTCAATCGAAACCGATTTCTCGGCGAGAAAATCAAATAAAAGGAAATACAATAATTACGCTCGAACTAGAACAAGTATATCATCGTAATATGCGCAATGACTTGGCGACGAATTCTGTTATCTGTCTCCGAGGGGATTATATAAGGTACACATTACACACTTAAGTTTCGTGTTTACTTTGAGGTTTTTTTTTAGCTTTTCAATTGTACATTTGGAGGCTTATAAATGTTTTTTACACGCCAGCGGATGAGCATGGCGTGGTGTGTCTATTTGTTTCGTAATCACATTGTATAGGTAGGTACTTCGAATCTATTAATTTCGTTTTAAGTGCTACTGCAACGTAAAGCGTCTTTGAATAACTATATAGATTATAGATGATTCAAGACTGAATATAATAACACAACCGTATGCAACAAAGAGCTACACTTTATTATAGGTTAGATAATTAATTTAAAAAATAAACCATTCATTTAATAGGTATAACCGTGAACTTTTAAAAACCTAACAATAAAACATTTAATTTTAATAATTGTAAATTCTAAAGTATATAAATTTATAAATTATATAATAATTAATATAGGTATTTAATATAAGTATATAATAGTATATAGGTTTACAAGCAAAATGTTATCATAATAATTTTCTATATTTGCAATTTCAGTGTGTGTTTTCCTCATTGGTCGGTCGTTTTTTCATACATACTTATCGGGGTTTTTTTTTTATTATTAAAATGATATAAAATACATTTGATTTTTATACATGGGATAACACTTAAATTAAAAATATATTTTTCTTGAAATTCTCATGTATCATGATTAAAACAATATGTTCACGAGGCTATCTAACAAGCGTTTAAAGTTTAAGACAGGAGTGGTGGTGCTGTAGGTAGCTCAAAAGTATTTTATCTTTGAACATTATATCTACTCCACCCTCTATCTGTCTAAACTTTGACGTATATATAATATAATAAGATAACTATGTGGTCAACATTCAGTTATGAAATACCAACATTTAAAATCTGTATAGGTATAACTGTTAAAAATTTATATTTATTATTTTATTTATTTACTAATACATCTAAAATAAATACATAATTTTACACCACAAACGAAAATAAAAATTCGAATTTGTAAAACAAATTTTTGAACTGTAGGAAAATGGTAAGTTTCTAAAAACAGAGACAATCTGCAGACATGTGATTAATATTCATTGAAATGGATTAGGTTTGCGCTCAAATTATTAATCTGTATTTTATTTTATTAATTAACCTAAAATGTGAATACCAATTAATTTACCATTTAAATTAATTTTAAATTATATTTTACTAGATAATTAATAATTTTTTAAATTTTAACGCATTTAAACATTAATTATAAGTAATAGAAGATTACAAGACAGTGGTTTAACTAAGTTTACGTCAAACTTTAAAAAAATAAAAATCGTTTTTGATTAACTTAAATATACTTCTATAAGTAATATTTTTTTCCTAGTAATAAACGTTCAAATTACATATTTCCATGTTGCGGTTCTTATAATATAACACAGTGATGAATGATTTTCCAATACATAAATCTTGGGAAGTCGATGTAAAACATTAAAAACATTAAATATTATCTTATAAATTGTTGTTTAAAACCACTCGTGCGCTAATTAATTGTATGCATTGATTTGTACTAACAAAAATTAACTGAACGTTAAATTCTAGTGAATGTCTTAATTATAGCTTTGCAGATAAATGAACTACTCATGTTTATAGTTACCGGGTAATATGATTTCATATTATCAAACATCACTGTGACTAATATCATTTGAACGAGTTCAACGTATGGTCAATCATTAATTTCGAAGAACCTTGCATTTCGTAAATAAAACATCAATTAACAATAGTAATAACTAAAAAGACACAGAATATCTTTTTGTCGTACGCTGCAGCACAAATTATAAATGCGTTCGAATTATACTTTTGATAGGTACAACAGATTTTTCACGACGACGTGGCACGGTGTCATTTGGTCCATCAAAAAAAAAGGTCAATAGATGTTTTATTAGAATAAAATAATAATAATAATAAAATTGCTACTAAGAAAATATCGTTAATGAGATTCGACTTACCTGTATTTGGAGTACAGTGTTGGGTTCACGACGGGAGTTTATCGCGACAACAATATTATATTCCTGAAATTTATCTTTAGTTTTTTTTTTTTTTTTTATTATCGAACTTCTAATGTAGAACTCACCGTTAAAACCGATCTGACACTTGACAGGTACGCTCGTGAAAGATAATTGTCTTGTACAGAACTTCTCGCGTTATGTGTTTGGCTCCACCTACGGCGGCGTCCCACTACTGTCGCGCGTATAATACACGGAAACAAAAAACAATTTGTACGCGTGCGGTTACAAATCGTAACTAGGTAAGATCACAATATTTTAAATTTTATTGCCATTCTAATATACGAGAACCAATAATCGTACAAATCATATAAATCGTGTGTGTACGTGTATGTACACTTATATACGCATTATGTCAGTGAAAATACATCGATGTCCGTATAATGTATATATTAATGTGATATATATATATATTATATATATATGCATTGTGTATATATACACGTTATATTATATTATGGCGGCATATATTACTTTTTTGAAGTGGGCGCATATTATTTAGTTACTTTTCAAAAACGGTTATTTTTCTTCTTAATATAATATAGTATAGATAATTTATATAACGCTCTAGTCACGTATTGGTCTAACTGTTGCGCGAGCAATAAGAGCGCGTTCGGGTAAATAATATTAATATAATCATTGATCTTTTCTTTGCATTATATTGTACAATAATATTTAGATATTATGTTGTCAACGAAATAAAAAGAAGAAGGAAAACGCCGACATTCAGATTAGTATTATTATACTATGTATTAAGTATAATTCGCTTCATACATTGTCTCCCTAGACATGACAAACGGAGCCGCTCGGCTGAATCAAAATTGAAAAAAAAGATCGGCTACACACAATGATTAATTCGACCATTAATAGTGGCCCAACGATGACAATGATATGAATCGACGTGGGTATTTCGGTGGTCCGGTACATTATGTCCGTCGCGAGTACATTTTTATGTACCTATTATATAATATATCATCTCCATGAGATTCGATCAAACACCCTGTTAATCCGTAGTCTGTACGGAAATTATTATTTTAAAGGGCTTGATATAATACTATATTTTATCCATGCGTTGTAGTGTATTATATACATAGATATGCGTACGATCTTATATTACTGTTATTCGACATAAATACGAATACCTAGTTAATCCTTACACTAAAATTCCGTCCACGGATTCCGAAACCGAAAAGAGCACAACGCAAATGCACTACACGATACAGTGATCAGTGAATAGTGAATATATTATAGTCTTGAGATAAGAGAACCGAGGGGTCTCCTTCGTGGTATTTTTTTCACGTAGAATATGTATATTGTAATGAGTTAACCTCGTCTCTGTACACTGGAACATATAGCATAGTGATATTATATCTAATTTAACTGATCATAAATGCACTTCTTAGATCGGGAGCTTTTTCAATGAGAGGAAAGAAAGAAGCAGTTAACCGTCTCCCTGCATGATTAGTAACTTATGTATATTTAATTTTTATATAACTGAACTATTTCTTATTACATTAATATTACAGTTAAATTCACTAAAATATTAAATATAACAAAGTAAAACGGATTATTCTGAACTTTAATTTTATGTCTTGTGTTGATTAGATGGAGATAAAATAGTAGCTACAATTTCCTTTGCTCATTGTGTAATAACCGATTTGAAATTAAAAATGTAAATAATTAATTTAAACTTTAGTTTAAATATAACCTAAAGATGCTAAGACACATAATTAAAATAAATGTACTTATTTAATTTGATTATAAAATGTTATATAATTTATGTTGTTCACTTCTTTAGAATATTTTTCCTCATTTTTCAAATTTTTATGAAATATATTGAGACCTTATTTCAATAAAAGTTTTAATTTTAATTTATTAATAATAATCATTAAATAAAACGATCTAATGGCCACTAAATTTATTTGTATATCAAAATATTTGCAGGTAAGTGTATAAAAATAAATGGAATTAATATACTTGGCCCATTTTTCAATTATTACACTTTCTTGCAGGAAAATTTTTTTACACAGTTTATTATCAAAACATTTGATTTTTTTAATTTTTTCTTATACCAAATTACTTATGAAAAAAAAAAATTTCTGTTATTACAGAAATAGGAATTTATTTTTGTTTCCGTAAAAGAAGTGATTTTATTATTCCCACCCATCAATTTATATTATTAATTTATAATTACAAATATAGATAATAAAATTGACTGCAAATTCAAGATAATAAGTTAGGCTAATATCAACAATATATTTGGGATTATAATGATTATATTATAGAATATTCTGGCCATTCTGCACGCTTATTATTAACAGTAAATATTTTTAAAATGTATTATTTATTTATAAATATATAATTATTATATATATTTTTATAAATATTTGTAATTGATAATACCTACGTCCTACATTAATTTTCATAAAAATAACAGCAAATAATTCATTAATTGCAATTTAGTTAGTAGTTATTATATCTATTTCATGATATAGATTCTCTATTTTTTCATTATTAAAGTTATATACATGATAATTTCTTAAATCAATTTAATTCATTTATCAGGAATGTTCCAGTGTTCAAAATATATTTTTATTATACAAACTTTTATTCAAGTTGAATTAACACGGATGAGTTCATTTAGTCTATGTCTATATTTACTTTATAATATATATTATTATTGTTAAGTAATTCAGTAAAACAATTATTCAAATGCATACTTTCCTACATTGGTACCGAATACAAAGTTAAATACTTTTTTCCTTGAGTATTGAAATGATGGTATTTAAAATAGTTAATATTTACATGTACTAACTGAATATTTTAAATTTTAAACGGTATTTAAAATTTAGCTATATAAAATGATTTGTTGTTGATTTTTATTACAGTTAAAATTCTTTTACATCATATTGAGTTAATCCCTCCAATCTCCATAAAAGTTGACAAGTGGACGATGTTATGTAAACTCTAATCAATATCTCGCGATCTGCCATTGATGAAATACTTATGTAAAATAATAATATTATTTGTATAATTAGATAGTGAAGACGGATTATATAGGAATTCTACCCAGTCAGTCTTTTTTCCCAAATTCTCTATTCTAATACGTTATTATATATATTATGACATTATGTGTATGTGTTTGTTTTATAATAAATACACCTAACTATATATTTTTAAATGGTGACCACATATAAGCATCAAAACCAAGAGGGTATATAATGATTTACCTAATACTATGATTACTGATTTTGAAATAATATTTTGTTTTTAGGTTCAGTAAGTGTGCAGACTGTCAAAGAAATTAATAATTATACATTAAGAAAAAATTTTATGAAACAATAATTGTCAGAAAAATGATTGGAAAATCGGGAGCAAATCAAGTTATTTGTAATTTGAAAAATTACTGACATTTTCAAACAACTAGATACCTATACTTAAATATGATTGTATAATACAATTATCACACCATACTATTACCGGTTAAAGTAAGTATTAAATTATACATTACTCACATTACATTATAATATTAAATAAAAATAATATATAATACAATATCCAATATTCATCAGTGCATATTATTTAAGTGGCGCAACAAAGGTATTCTACCGTCCATCCTTAATAGCTTTTTCATTATAATTCATGTATTACAAAATATACATCTTAGTTAACCTTAAATAAATTATGTAAAAAAATTTATTAAGCGTGAGACATTTTAAACTATAATTCTATAATGAATATTAAAAATTAAATGCAATATTATATTATATTTAAATTAGAAATCTAAATGTAATTAATAACAATAAAAAAAAAAACATTTTCCCTCAAAAATTTTACTCAAATACGTAAATCGTTAACATTAATAAATATTGAAGTAGAAAAATATGTTCGTCGAAATGTATAAAACCGAAAAATATTAGTCATTACTTATTATTGTAATGATTTGTAATAATATTATTATAACATGTGACATAAAAATGCACGCATGAGCGAGAGGAAGTAACAGCCATTGATTACTCGTATTCATAATCATGTCAACCGCATTTACCAAACAAAAGCGTAGGATGTTCTATAATCAACCGAGATATCGGTAACTCGTAACAGCGTTTACAGTGAATCTAAATAAAATAATGATAAAATAATGTCATAAAAAATACAAAATATTAATTTAGAATATTAAGAGGAAGCAGAAAAATAATGCACTATGACTTACAATATCTCACTGCATATATTATAGTCATGACGAATGCATTATGCAAATACCAAAGACCTATACCCATACAGACTATACATGGATACGCAGGTAATAATAGGATTATCGATAATTAATATTTACCAAAATACCAAATACCTATAATACACCAAACAAAAAAAAAAAAAAAAAACAATATTATAACAGCAACAAAAAATTATATTATACTTAAAATGACATTCGATTGTAATTTAGATAATTTTACATTAACATCACTATATAGTGATCAGAAAAGAGTTCATTTAAGTATCTACGTCACAATACCGTATTTAAACCCGTCAGCCGTACATGATTATTATAGTGTAACGAACTTCGGGACCCAAAGCAGTTTTCGATAACAATCCGAAAATATTTTAACCATTTACATTGAAACTAATAATTGACTGTCTGGTGTATATTACGACAAAACGACAAAATGTCAACCTACACGGTCCAGACAGGACTAATGACTTACAAATTACAAGTATGACATTTTTTACTCAAGGACTCGAAAAACCATCACTATACAATAGTATGGCCAGTGCAGCATAGACGTGCGAACCTGGTATGCTATAAATTTTTTTAAGGAGAGTCGAAGACTGAAGAGACTAATATTATTGAATATGTTTTCACAAAATCTACATTGTATATTTTCAGAGACTGTTTAATGAATCAATGTGTACAAATTATGAATATAAAGTTTTCATTTTTTTTTTTTTAGTTATATTGTAGATTTGTAGAATTAAAATCCACTAGGTAAAGGTTTTATTTTTTAATTGATTATTTTTAACACAATTATTTAAACTTACAGTTATTGGTAGTAATAAGTTGGTTTACAAGGGGTCAGTTTAATTTGCAGGAGTTGTGGGTACACCTGAAATCACGTGTAGATATTCATATTTTATCCAGGCGTCACTTTGTATTCCGTAGGTACGAGTCTGTAGCAAATTTAAAAATAATTGTCAAAAAATTGAAAATCTACCAACGACAAACACATGTTTAGAGAACACAATTTATTAACTATTGTCAACTTCAAACAAACCATACAAACATACAACGTACTATTGGATTCTGCAAACGAACATGATGATGCTATATGGAAGAAAGTCTATAGAAATTAAAATTCACTCTACCGATACATTAAGATCACAAAAATTATCATTTTTATTAATCCTTACGACTATTGTTTAATGAATAAGATTAAAGATTTTGGATACCTAGCTATAAAAGTAAGTACTTACCCAGTCATAGCCGATGGTACCTAAACAATGATAACATTTGATTATTTGTTATCGACGGCTGTATCGTAGGAAAAAAACGATGTATATCCATTTATAGATTAAACGTTTATCGCCGCAAATCTGTAAATCAAGTTGATAATATATCGATCGCGACATTTTATTAAAATGTATAAGATTCGTATTGACAATTGTGAGTTTGTACATAATAATATTACCGTAATATTCGACTTTTAATATTTGATAAATAATTAAAAAATTCTTTTATCAGCTATCTACTATCGCCTATCGGATTTAAGATATCTAATTACATGCTCTTGATGATTACTCACTCTTGAATTGAACTTTAAATTTGTTTGTAGGTTTGTTTTTACATTTTAAATATTAACTAAATAATATTACATAACAATGAATAGCGACAAGGCTCAATAAAAGTAGAAACTAAAAATAGATTTTAGTAAGCAATAATTTTAAAGCCAAATTATGATATTACAAATTAAAATTTATTTATTTACAGTCATGTAAATGTTTCATCACTCAAAATAATGTCAAAAAAAATAGTTGCTTAAATATTAACATGATTTAAATGATTTATAATGCATATTTCTGTACTATAATTTGTTTTAATTAACCAGCAATTTTTATTTAATTAATTTTACATAGTTCTAAGTGTTTTTTTTTTTTTTTTGTGTAAAAATAAATCGATTGATCATACACGTTTAAATTAGTTTATAAATTGCTCGAAACTACGACTAAATAATTACAATTTTACAACAACAAATATATCTATTATAATAATAATGATGAAAAATATTATTTTAAAATTAACATGCTATAATTTTTAAATTAAGAAAATATTTTTTTTTTAGATTAAACTATCATTAATCAAAATATTTCAACAATTTTTTTAATTACAATCTCTAATTGATCAAAAACGATGACTTAAGAACAAAAATAATAATTTTCAAGCTACTGATATTAATATTAACAAATTAAGTACATCATATGTACAATAAATTAAGGACTTATACGTGTAAGAATGTACAATACAGTAAATGCTAATTAACAAATCAGTGTTTTATAAATAGAGATTCAACTAGAACAAAAAATAAAATAAAATATTGTACTTGTGATTAAATAAAATTACTTATATGAGCTTATAAATTTAAGTTTCATAAATTTTGTTTCTTGAACATAATATAAATATATATGCAGTCTTTGCTTTTTGAAAAAAAATAAAACTCCTAAAATAATGTCTTTGAAAATTGCCTACATTTCAATCAGTAATGTATGTACTATATAAAATTATGTAATTAGTTAAATAATGTAAATAATAATAATAATATAAATAAAACATAATAATTTTTTCGTTTTGTTCGTTAATGATAAATATAGTTATTATAATAATATTGAAATCAACAAGATTGATAACACTCTAAAGAATAGTCAAGGAGAAATATACTAATTTTTAGGAATTAACTGACATGGTTAGAACACTAGGCCTATCTTTGTTGCCGGTGTTTATGTTATTATTGTTGTTGTTGTTGTTATTGTTGTTGTTGGCAGATGCTAGGCTTACTATATGTGGACTGTTGATAGACTCTTGAGATGACTCCGACTTGATGACATCATAGTAAGCGGGTGCTATATGTGAAGCTGTTTGATACAAATTGGCATATGCAAGACCTGAACTTGCACTTCCATGGTTCAAAACACTGCCAGATGTACGGTGACAGTCACTATAGTTATGTTCAGATGCTATTTAAAAAAAAAAAAAATTTATTAATATACAACATTTATTAAACTATAGTTATTAGAAATTCTCAATACAAAAAATAAGAGGATTAAAGAACTAAAAGTGTATATGAATTATATTAAAAAAAAAAATTATAACTGGAGTAGGTACCTAAACTCATGTTAACATTAATATGCTTCAATGACATTTTATGATCATGAACATTATCATTAAACAGTGCCCAAGTATAGTAAATAACCAGTTTAAAAAGAGCCCCCTTTTAGTACTTAGAATTATTAAGAATTATAATAATAATGACTATCATTATTATTATTATTTATCAAGTAAACACTATGTAATAGTTACTAGTAGTGGTGCTTAATAATAAATAATAAATTTTGTCACTATCATATTTTATAATCATTATTGAAAAGATATTGCGTGCATTATCTGCAGATTAGTAATAACTGTGTAACTTTTAATAACCATAAATTTATAATTAAAATTAAAATATATTTAATACAAGTTCTTCTTTCGTACTCATACACAACTATAACTAAATAATAATAATTAATAAAATATTTGACTTACGTATTTCTTGTTTGATTCTCTTAGGTTCTGGTTCTATTTTAGATCCACCTTTGGGCTTGCGCTTTCGTGTCTGAAAATAAAAATAAAAATTTTCAAATTAAAAACAAAAAAATATATCTGTATGTTATGGTTCAATCATTAGAACATAGAATTTAAAATTAGAAAATGCATGAATAAACTGTACGAAATTAACTAGAGTAATGAGCTGTAAAAGTCGGTTTAAACATAACACATCATATTATTTCTATTAAAAATAAACAAATAATCACCTGGATAGAGTCCTTTTTCATTGTAAGGGGTCTCTTAACGCCATGTAACTTAAAATATAGACCGCATGCATTACACACAGGCTCACCCACTTGATTTCTGCGCCATAATGACGTGGTGGCAGTTTGACAATTTGTGCACTGTAATCCTTGACGTCTAGATGCGTTTTGCTAAAAAAATAAATTTTAAAACATTTTTATCGTTAGTTGTATATATATAAGTAACACAATATGATGATTTTTAGCGCTCATTATATAGCTGTTGGGAGAATTCAAAACATGCAGCACAAAGCGTCTAGCCATCGGGGAGCCCAGACCGGAAGAGCCCGCCGCGATTTCAAGTTTTGTTTATGAATGAACACGCAGATTAATAACCCCATATCTATGTTGTGACAGATTAGAAAATGGTCATAATAATGTCATAATCTATACAAATGTTTTTAAAGACGTGATAATGGAAGCCGGCAAATTCGATTATTATTAGTAGCACGTGTTACGGGTAATGAAACTTTATGATTAGAAATGTACATTTCATCGCCATTGATATTATTTACATTGTCACCAACCGATATCATAATATAATCTCGAAAGATATTAAATAGAAAAAACTGTAAACTTAGTAAATGTAATTACGTACCATTCTTCTCGTAGTTTTCTCTTCTAATCCGCTGGCTCCAGATGATCTTCCAAAACTAGCGGGCACATGATGATACAGAGGGCCGTTATAGAAATCCCCAGAACCGGACGAGCTCGGGCCGGAAGCCACTAAAACAATAATAAACAAATAAACTATATTAAAATTTAGTTTTTTATTAAACGGTTTTAAATTATAAATATGACGACCAATCGGAAGACGGTCATCGAGAAGAAAATTATGTACAACAAACAAAAACACATGAATAAAAACATCAATCACTAAAAAATAGCTGGTTACCAGGTATTTCTACAAAGATTCTCGTATCGATAGTAAGGGGAGAGAAGTCGTGCTGAAACGCTATAAGAACCACTTACCTGTAAAGCTGTAGGTACACAATTCAGTAATTACCGGCTACTAAAGGTATTTATTTTATGTATACCAACACGTCTATAATTCTACATGTTATTTTTATGTTTGTACGCCCCAAGACAGAGAAAACAAATAATAATAGCAAACAAAAGTTCATACATGCAAATCACATATATAGGTGAGCGTATACGCTGTAAAAGATTTCTTTTATAGTCACTAACCAGCCGTTAGGGTGGTTTCACTAAGGGCCTGTTTATGCCAATCATCTTGTAGTAAAGTCCACACGCGTTGCACAAATAATGACCGGTGCCGTCACGCCTCCACAATGATATGGTGACCGCTCCGTGATTCACGCATTCGCAACCCTCACAAAACATTTCCATCTCATCGACTGTATGATATTTGTAGATATATATTATATGGTGCATACACAAACAAAATACGACACTATGTCAACACGTCTGCAGCGATCGACTACACCCTATTTGTTGTATAATATATTGAGGGGTAGTGGTAGTGGTGGTGGACGAGAAGGGGAGAAGGCGTGACTAGTCATGTCAAGTATATAATATATTCGCAACGCCTATTAAGCACGAGTTGTACAGAAAAGTTGAACCGTTTATCAATAGCAACTCCCCTCCCAATAAAATATAAAAAGACTTCATAATAATATACATACGGATACGACGCGTTAATAATATATAGACAAATTAAGTTTATTTTTTTCATTAATTTATTATTTATTTGATTCATTTAATATGTGCCACACTTTTATACAAATTAATTTCGTTTAACTAGAGATTAATCGATCTTAAACGTACAGGTTTACTAAACGCATACGCTAAAATTATATTTTTTGTCTATAAAATATTTAATATGCTATTTTTATGGTTTACGTAATATATACACGTATCTCACTTAAAACAAAATGCAGTAGAGAAAAAACATAAAATAACGCGGTTTTAGAGAAACAGTCGTAAACTTGAGATTAACATATGTGTTTCAAATAAATATATACTAATCGATATCCCGGGGTGTCGTCTTCATCACACTTGCAGAGGGTTTTAGCGCCGCGGCAAACGTACGCATTAGCGAGTGGGTGATTCGATAAATATTTGACAAGGTGGTCCGAAGGCAAATATTAAAAAAGGCAAAAAAAAGGTCTACTAAAGGATTTAATATTTAAGGCACGATATCATTTTACTGTCCCTCGTCCCACCCTAACCGTGTCATATACACCATCGCCCCCGAGGTCAACAAGCCGTGTAAACGTCAACAATCTTCCAGTATAGCTCGTGACACGACCCTTCGCTGGTGGTGAACCGATAAACAGCAATATCGTATATTGGTGGATTGATTACAATCGAGACGGACCGTCAACTACCCGTCATCCGTCGGTTGTTCTACAGTTATCTAAGGGCAACATGTGTAGATACAAATAAATGGGTGATGATGGTGTCAATAACGAGTAAAAAATAAAAAAAACTTATAACGCACGCCACCGTAAATTACTTGAAAATAACAAAACTAAATAATATTGTTTTGTAGAAATATCTGTGAATATTTGAAAAATCCACACAATCATTATTCATAGAATAAAATATATATTTTGTAAATAATCAAAATTATATAATTTACCTACACTCAATAATAATTAGTTTTAAACAGTTGTACAACACAAGCCGGTCGCGCGAGCCTGAAATGTGCGTCCGAATCACTATACGTGACATTAACCACGTTCGATTAGTACTATGACAATTAAAAATGGCACGCAATTGCGATTAACACACGTAAGAAAAAATAACTAACTAGGTATATATTATATATACACATTATTTTTTGTGTGCGTTTAAACACAAGCATAACAATTACATAGTACCTACATATTATGATATGTTATTTTAGAAGGGTTTATACTATATAGTATGGAGGCTATTGATCCTGCTCGGTGCATGTATAATTTTTCGTTTCCAACATGGCCGTTGCTGATAACGAGCTTCCGTTTTCCGCGTGTAATTCGGGCTCTGGGCATAATAGTTATCGAGGGAGCAACAAAATTTGTGATAAAACGGTAGGGAAAAAATATATATATAAAAAAAAAAACAACTAACGGAAAACATACATAATAAATACAATGATAACGAAACGGGACTTAACCTAGTTTTTATATTTTAATATATATTGTCCGCTTGTTATTATATTTTTATAGACTATCGTATAGGAGAGAGAATTCAAATAATTATACTGTACACACGCACCGACTGTGAGGAAACTGCGTCGAACGTTGAATCTATATTATAGAGCACAATTTACAATAATGGAAACGTTAACGATTTCGTTAGTGACAAACATCACCACAACGGGTATACTTTTAGATTTACAATTCGAAAAAAACAATATCATTCCGAGTAAACACTGCAGTATATTATACTGTCGTGATGCGTATATATAAATGAGACTAAACGACATCAACATGTATATAACATGTATTTGTACACTACAGTTCATTTGATTATATGAAAAGATAAATCCTGACGAGTCAATCTTACATCAATAGGTTAAAAAATAAATAATTTCAACAGGCAATCGTTTTGTTAAGAACTGGTATTTTTATTTTTATTTTTTTCCATTGGTAAACTTCTTTAGAAATTATGAACACGACGGCGTAGTTATAGTATATAAATATTAAGTATAATATCCGTCAAATTTGTAGCCGTGTAACGTGTAGATTTATACATAGAATCTGTATGAGATTAAATTAAAAATTTTAACATCGGATGGTATAAATATTATTACTTAAATAGTAGTACAGAATATTATAAGATGTAACAGGGTAGCATAAGACAGTCTGCCTATTCGAATGTATTAAATAGCAGCGACAACGGTGGTGGTATTGGTTGGGTTAGGTCAACCCGACCTCGAACACACGTTTTTACCACTAGCCGCCGAACATTAATCAAAGACAGGGGATGCACGATATTTGGACAAGACAGGAAAGACACACACGTCGCACAATATACTATATTGGCACGCACGACGTTCGACCACGAGGGGGTTGTGATATGTGTGTGTGTGTGTGTGTGTGTGTATGCAAGGAGCGTATAATCAATATTTACGAGTATTTACAAAGTATTATAATATTATTATACATTTTATAGTGTTGTGTATCGATATTAAAAAAAAAAGGCAAAGGGCAAAAGACGAGTTCGCGAACACGTGTTACTAGCACGACCACCATCGCCGCCGCACAAATGTACACGTTAATAACATGTACCTAAGTACGAAGTCATGTGTGTGTGCACCAGACGGCAGCAGACCGGTGTCCCCTAAATGGGCGTTTAATTAATGGCAAACAGATATTATTATTGAATCGTATGCGTTGTAAAAGGAGACGGATCCCCTTTCGATCTTCGAACGCACACATTGTTTTTGTATTATTATTATTAAAATACGTATAAACACGACGGGCAAGCCCGCAAAAGGTTCCAGTCGCTTTGGGTGGGCACTTTTGCAGCGCGCGCGCCCCGAGAAAAAAACACCTACCCTATTAATCGGTTACCCCACAGCGGGAGATTCAACGACAAACACTTCGCTCATTCTCTTCTATACATGGTTATTATTATTATTGGTTTTTTTTATGTTTGGGTTGTAACCGACCCAAGTTCTAGACCATGCGGCACACGCCATACACACATATATATTTATAATATATACATACATATATATTATATATATGTAAACATGTATAATTATGGTATTAGTGTTTTTCAAGTCTATGCGGAGACACTTTACTGCGCGATAACCGATAGTTCTGCGCCGACAGAAGATAAATATTCGAAAACATAATTTGCCTAATAAGTATAGTAGGTATTGTTTTTTTTTCTCCAAAGATTTTCTGAAAACGTTTTAAACTAAATGTTATGCGAGTCGAGACATGGTATCAATCGTCGCATACTAATCGCTAAAAAATATATATGATATTATACTTACAAGCTGACAACGAAGCGGCGGCCGAGAACGCGTTTGTTCGACTCCTTCCCACCTGATTTTTGATCGGCATTGGAGCGTAGTTTATAGTGCCGTCGGTGTTCGCGTAACCCGCAGCTGCCGTGGCCCACTGGAGCGATGAGGTGTCGCCCGGGCCACCGTTGTTAACGGCTGTAGCGGTCAGATGGTACGGTGTGACACCGGGCGTGGCGATCGAGTGGTATGACGACGGGGCTGACCGGGACGAACCTGGAGCAGTGTACGCGGACGCAGAGGACGTATGTGTGCTAAAACGCTGAGCGAAAGCTGGCAGACCACCGCCATTGTGATTGGACTGCTGCTGTTTGCTTGTCGACGATGGAGAATATCCTCCGGTACCGTCTTCGGACACAACTGCAGCAAGGGAACAACAAAAGAAAATGATTCAAGTAACGGTAAATTTTGAACGGGCAAGTTTGTATAAAGTATACGTGGGTAGATGCAATAAATTATAAGTAATGATTAAATTATCCCTGGCGTACCTGTAGACCACATTTGGTTGCCGGCCACGGATGTGATGATGTTGTTGGCCTGCTGTTGGTTGAGCTCGGGTGAGGACGTAAAGTAATGTGGCAGGGAAGTTGAATACTGCAAGCCACCGCCGCCACTGTTACTTCTCTGATACATAGATGAACTGTGCGGAAAACAAAGTATTGCGATCAGAAAGCTGCATGGCGCGATGATCAGTTTTGTCGAACCCGAACGAGTGTGACCGACGATCGTCGGGGTTACGACTTATATGTATTATAAATGTATATAAGTATTATATATACATATATAAGATGAAAAGATACTTAGAGTATGTGAATGAAAAGAGAGGGGAAGAAAAATAGAGCGTGAGTGTATGTGTATGTTAAAGAGAGAGTGAAAGACCAGAGGTACAACTGATCACTGTCTGACGCGAACTGGCCAACACCCGACAAGACGACCGACCCGATGGTACGTGTCTCACTAAGCTGCGATTACGACCTTGAGGCCTTGGCCAATGTTTTCACCAGGCGACACGTTCAGCCTTGGCGCCGAGCATCATAATACGTTACTATGGACTTGTCGGGCGGTAACAGAAGGGGTAAGGGGAGGAGAGGAATGGGCAGACAGTTTTCTATAACATTATTAGGTACTTTTTTATTATTACTACACTGTCTTATTTAACATCCGATGCGGTAACTTAACAAGCAACGTGAAGAAGAGGTCGTAAGATCTCTTTAAAACCCTCCCTTCCAATAATACTAAAACAATATTTAAATTTATGGCAATGATCGATATCACTTCTCCCGCGCCTATAGCAGAACGACAAAAAGGGTTGTAGCAGCTTTTGCAACATAATAAAGCAGTCCTGGGTGAAATGGAACCCACGTCAAGAGATCACAATAATAACCGCACACTTAACTGCGCGTGTACATCTACAAAATTCAATTTATAAAATTTATTCAACACTAAATTATACCTAATAAAGGTGTAAATTTTTTTTTCGTTGACATGCTTAATAGGTTAGCAGTTCTGAGCAAAAATTTTAAAACGACTGCGGCACGAAATATCAACGAGTTTATATATGTATAGGTACAGAAATACTGAATGACGTAATTTCAGCTCGAACGACAACATTCGCTGCAGAAAACAATGTCTTATAGACTAGTATTTATTCTACGTTTAAAAATCTTAAATATTTTATTTAATTTACACGACGATATTGTATTATATTCTAGGTTATTATACACTTGTTTATAGTAGTTTGTGACAAAATACAGTAATTAAAGTTAATGTAAATAAAGATATACACATCATAACATTCAGAACTCATGGTCAACCAACCGTGCGCAGAATCTCCTAAACCTTAACGATGGGTTACGAATTGTGAACGATTTTAAAACTAAAACAACAAACGTGATCTCTGGCTTCAAACATGCTCGCGAATAGTGTTCGATCGTACGTGATCGTATGTGCCAAACGCCGCCGTAGCTCTCGATAAAAACCACGCATACCGAATTCCCGAGAAAACTAAAGAAAAGGGTTTAGCCGAACACCGGCGCGTCGTATTAACACAATTTATTAATATATAAAAATAATTATTATACGTTGGGTATACTATGTAATACTATGAAATCAACACGGAAAACCGATACCGTCTCATAGTTCATACATTAATCAGTAATCAACATTTTCGTTCAAGGTAATATATACGTGGAAGTACACACAGGTATAAACGTCGTGTCGGGTTACGCGATGTCGGATATCTGCAATGTACATTCAAAGTTTTGGCAGCGATCTAAGTGGTTTATACTTTAATCAAAACAAAAACGTCCCTTTGTCGATAGCAACTGAGAAATAATAATAAAAAAAATAAAATATGCTCTGGTATTCAATGACAAGAGATTACGATAGAACGCACATAATAATATATAATATTTCTGAAAAGAACGTGTTTAATAACAATATGTCCTTGTCCTCGAGCACCGCCGTCGTCATCACGTATTATAAACACGATGAATTTGCTGCTGTTCACGGACAGTCTTATAAAGATAAAAAAATAAATACAGTAATATACATGTATACATATATGTATTATATAAATAAATAATAATATTTACGTTCAGACTATACACCAAAAACTACACCGTTGTTACAAAACCCGCGTATTATTATGACACACGTCAATAATAATTATTATTATTGTTTTAGTGGCGAAATCGGAAACCGATCAAAAACGAAACGGATTTTAACAAAATCCGTGAACAAACAAAACCCTATATAGTTGTAGTCATCTTATCGGGAATCCGGTCAATCGTGTGACTACTACTTTAAATACGCAATTGATTAATTCCACCCTGACCCAACGCTGTACCATTTGACCGTTAAATTTGTAGTAAATGTGTGATGCCACGATTTACAATAATTTCGTAGATGTTGTCATCACAAATGTACGTATTGTGAAAAACGATCAACGAATGGCATTGATATAATAACAATAATTGTCCAATCGACTGTCGGCAAACAGAAAAATAGTTTATAGGTAAACATCGCCGCAAACGACGGACTCAGCTGCTGCCCGCAAGAGGAATCACACTCGGTAGAGTATATTCATGCCGGTGGACACCTGCCTGCGAGACGCACGGCACCACCCTTTGTTCGGCGACGGCGGCTATCTGCTCATTCAGACCGGACAAAGTTCACCCATTGTTCACCGACTGATGAGGTCAAGCTTGAAGAAAATTTTTTACTATGTTCGTTTTTAAATTACGAAAATTACACATTATTTTATTTAGGTAAAACGAAATTCTCGTTCGTTCGACACAACAGTTAAACGAATTGAGTGTGGTACCTATATATATATAATACATACCCTACAACACATTGATGAATATTTTGATATAATATGAAATATTTTTCTTTTTTTCAATAGAACAGAATATTGTTTTCCTCCCTCTGGACAACTGAAAACTTTTATCAAGTAGTCAGAGACGTGTGTGTTGATAGACAAAATAATATAAAATATTATTAAATACGGTAACTGATTACAGTATGAGTAATAATAATTGAACAATTTATAATAATTTTTTATACGTCGCTTAAAGTGTAAAAACGGCAAAGTGTAAACATTCGCCGCCACCGTCAGTTTCCTAGAACGAACAAAACCCGTGGGCGGACACATCGCCGTCACCTCTTTTAGTATACCGTACGCGACGGCGGCATCGTTGTCGTATGTGAACAAAATGCCAAGCTAAGCACATCTTTGCCGCCGCCGATCCTTTGTGAAGGAAAAAAATTTAAAATGTATATTATTTTATAATGATCGTAATGCCAATCGCACACCAGATAGTTCAAACCTGACTATTTTCTTCTCATTACTAATAATCATTGGGTTTTTTATGCTAAATTATATCATGCCTTCGACACGGAACTCGTACAGACAGGTATTCAAAATAAAAGCGATTCATAACACAACACACGACACACAACCTCCGCACCGTTCAATTGTATTTCAATAGAAAAGACGGCGGTGAATTCTAAAACGGCGAAAAGTGAACACAACAATTTTTTTTTTTAAAGAAATCTTGCTAACGCAGTGTAGTACTAGTGTATATGCACGCACAAGTTTTGTACACCTAGGCAGAGTTGTAGTGATTATTATTATTATTATAAATATTGAACGTCGAGAGAAAAAAATCCACTATTGCACATAATGTATGATACACGCCGACTCTCCCCTCGCGGAAACGATGAGTCAGCATTTGAATAAAACACCGTTCGTCAACAGCACGCGCACCGGCAAACTGCAGATCAATGCGCAATTAAATTTATAGTATAATAAAATTGACATACATTAGTTGGAAAAATAATCCATATAATATGCAAAAATTCAATGATGGCCATATACGTAAAAAGTCGAACTTTTATCATGTTTTAAATATAATAAAGTACCAAATTCTGAATTAGGGTTTTTATATAAAAAAAATATTTTTATTTTGGCCATTTATTCTTTATGGGAGAAAATATATGATCAATTGATTCAGTATAAGTGGCTAACAAAATTACTTATTATAAACTTGTTAATAATGACTAACACAAAAGTACACGTGATAACTTGTTAACATCTCGCCAATAATTACCACTGTTTTTTAGTTGTTTATTTTGTAAACTCATTATTTATTAATTCGATTATCTAATCAAAACTTTTTGATTTCAATAGAAAAAAATTACCATTTTAGAATTAAACGATTCAAGCGAAGACCACAACATTTACATTACATATTATATTATCATATAAATTATCTATTCTATTATTTATATAGACGATTTTTTAAAATATTGTCATTCGTTTTTTATGTATTAAAAAATAACTAACTCGAAAGGAAATGTGTAATCTCACGACGAAACCCTTACGCACTTTTTCCTTGTCCACGTCGCTAAATTAACAATAACACATAAATATCTATTCACACACATCCGGGACCGGATCACCAAATGACACGAATCCGACACCGTTCTTACGAGAGGGTCGACGACGGCAGTAATGACAAAACCTATGTGTACATTTTCGCACTAACGCCGTGGAAAACACGTCGAAATTGCGTTTTATCTAGGCCTACGCGAGTAATAAAAAATAAAAATGAACTTCGTGAAGGCGGAAGGGGGGGGAGAGGATAGGTGGTGTTGTGTCCTTGGTTTCGAGTGCAAACACTTAAATCGCGTCCATAAAATTAGATGGAAAAAAAACGGTCGCCAGCATAAATATAACATTTTTTTTTTTTTTTACATTTCGTTTCGAAGTAATAATGAATTTACACGGTCTTTGCACACGTTGCTGCGCTCACAATGGGCGAGCACACGAAGAACGTGTTGGAACAATTACCATTTATTCATTAGGCCGCCGTCGGTCGTACGAATCAACCGCAGAGGACGGGGGCGGCGGTGGTGGCGGCGGCAGCCGCGACAACACAACGACGGTTTTTATTATATTTCATTCCTCTTGGAACGCGCGACGCTCGTTTTACACTGTACATACTACGACACATACACCACGCGCGTACAATTACTTATGTGTATATGTAGTATGTACATAATAGTAATATATAACATACATGCGCGTGCATGCATTCACGCGCGCACACACACACACGCCACACGCATTAATCGTAAATAGTTGGGAAAAATTCCGTGCGCCCTCGCGTATTTTATTAAAAATAGAACCGAATTTTATTTGGTCCTACACGAAAAACATTATTACGATGTCCGATTAATTATGATATGAATTTATAAAAATGCAAAATTAGTTTTTTGCTTAAAATTTTTTTTTGATAATCTCTCGAACTTCAAATGTACTATGTATCTACGTGTTCAGGCCACAAACAAAAACATCAATAATTATTTTTAGAAAAAAGCCCATATAGCGATTATCAAAATTATTATTATGTACACTTCCACAATGTACCTAACCACAATTTTTAAGTCTAGGTGGCCTTGCACCGTTGCAATAATAATTAATAAGGACCGTTATCGTTTTATTGACGACATTAAGTCCAAATTTGAAATAAACTACAATAGCACACGTTGGATTTATATCAAATCAACACATTTAATAATATTTCATAATAAATAACGAATATTCTAATAAAATATAAGTATTATAAATAAATCAAATAAAATTATATTTATTGATGTCAATAAACGTGACAGATAAAAATTTGAAGTACACGATGAATTGTTTAAAATAGTTATTAATTTATTTATTCATCAATATGCAAAAAAAGGTGATGAATTTTTCGTTCATTACTTATCTAATTTATGTACATTGGAATTTAAAATATAACGCGATTTCTACATGTCGATATTGCATAGCTTATTCCCAAAAAATAAACGCCAACAAGACGTGTGTTGCATATTCAAATTGGTAATTTGGTCAGTGGTTTATACCTAATTAAAATTAAAAAAGATGATAAATTACTGGCAACAAAATAATAATTTTAACAGTATATTTTTTTGTAAAATGTCACGTATTTGATTACTATTATTCACGGCCACAGAAATAAAGCCACACACGCGATTGAATAGAATGACAAGAATGTATTTAAAACAATTAAAAAGCTATTCCTCAGAAGTACTACGTAAATATAGTTTTAAAATGATATTGCAACGAATGTAGAATAGTACTGCAATGAACAAGAACTGTAAAAATAATATTTACAACTATTTACTGTGTTTTGTTACTTATTCGTTTGAGAGCCTATTTTGGTAAAGAACTACAGAATAACAAAATATTATATTATACATCAATACAATATGTTATTTAACAGTCTGTCAAATGTTAAGTTATAAGATGAAATAAAACTAGGAGCTATGGTAATTTTATAAGTGTTATGCTTTAACAATTAAATCAAAAAAATTTAAGTCGAGTCTAGTAAAAATAGATGTCTTAACCAAAAATTGTTAAAATATAATTTTTGTTTTATAGTTAGAGCTATTATCGGAGCACAGTTGTCCTCCGATCAAACATCATAAACACACATAATATGAAAATCTAATGTCTACAGATAGCGTTAGAATTAGATGATAAGAGGTTATTTTTATATGCTGGCCTGCAACTAGTTGACCAACCACTAATGACTATTTAACATTAAAAAATAAAAGAATTAAGAATATTTTCTGGGATACCTGTAGATTTATGGTTTATAACATTATAAATATTTCAAGAAAAAAAAATGGTCCATGAGAATTAAACAGACGACAAAAAATGATACGGTTTAAAAAAAAGATTGAGAATTTTTTATTGAATCCGATCTACTTCGGCGTTTGTCGTCTTAAGTTATGACGCCGTCGTTTTGAATATCAAAGACCTGAAGATGATCATTGACCTCGATAAAATGTAATGCCGTTTGCAGAATTGCGACAAAAATCTGTAAATCGTACTGTATAGTTTCGCGTTTACCAAGAGCGGAGCGTGTATACTGCATAGTAATTGTTTTGCTGTAGTAGGTGTTTCGTTGGATTTGCTGATGATTTTAATTTTTTATTTCTGAGAACCAATGAATCACTTCTAGTAATATATGTATTTAGGTTTATTTTCTTTCGACCGAGAGACTCAAATGCGACATCAACGCAAATTTTGAAAAATCTTCTGATGGAAGTAAACGACCGAGTAGATGGGGTAATATGCGTTACTACAACGTGACTTGTGAGCAATAAACGTCGGGTCGCTTGCGTATAATTTACTGTCGACAACTTCACAGATTTTTTTTATTTAATTTAACCACACACATTTTTACACAACAATAATATACCTGTTTTGTTTCCATAATAATTTTTAAATAATGTGCTTAAAAAAAATTCTATGGATATAATCTACCACCATAGTACCACCTTATATTTTATCAAATTTAAATTTGCAAAAGTAAAATAATAAAATTTTTATTTATATCATTTTAATACTTTATAGTTGAATACACTTTGTACTTAATAAATTAAAAATATTATGATGAAAACAATAAAATGTATATTATTATTATATTTAAAATATATGTATTGTATATATATATATATATATATAGATTGCTAAAATTATACTTAATTGCTTTAAGTCATTTAAATACTTTTATCATATTATTAAACAATTAAAATCTCGAGGAGAAAAATTAATAATATAATATTTAAAATTCTTAGTTCTCACCAGAAACGATTAAAAGTCTTCATTGTAATTTAATTCTATGGCTTTTATTTTATAAAATTTAAATACTTTAATATTATTTTAAAATATTTTAAAGCAAAAACAACAACGTAATATTAGTAGTATATTATTAATAGAATTGGTCAACTCTTTTTTTAGATCAACAATTATGAACAAAAAATCTTCAAACTAAAAGCAGTATGTATTATTATAAAATGAATATAACCTTTACTATACTACAGGAGAGGAGTTTGATCATTAACTGTCTAATTTAACTATAAGCCAAAACAATACAGTTTTAATTTTTGTTCAAAATTACTAATTGAGATCAGTAATTTAAAAATATAAATATTCTATTAATGTAGTCTTATAGTCGACGTATTAAAAAATAAAACGATAATCAATGTAATATATAATATTAAAAATAATGAACTAATTATTAAAGCCCATAGTATAATAAAATAATCTAATGTCCTTAAACATAGGCCAGAATAGACGTTACAATAAATTATTGTTATAATGATGATGAAATAAAGATTACTTATGAACAAAAAATTATTTATGAAACCTATGTTTTTAACCTAACCTTCCTACAGTGGTGAGAGAAATACGACCAATTATCGAAGCAAACGAACAATATTGCACTATGTAAATATGTAATGGCTTTCAAAAACGCATACACACCCTAATGACGTACGATTTAAAATTATTATTTCAATTGTAAATTATTTGTCGGAGAACGTTCGTCATCGATGCTAAATATAAAATAAATGTCAGGGCATTCCGCGACAAAAAAGTACAAAATTGTTCGACAACACCAACATTATTATGTAATAAATAGCATAAATGTGGGTCATTGCACCGTTGGCGAGTAATAAAACTCGTAAACGATACAAGCAAGTCTTATCGGGTTCGAAAACCCCGTGGCAAATGCGGTATTGGATGTGAAAAGTACGCGACGAAATAAAAACGTCACGTTCGTTTGGCGAGAAAACCGCAAAAGCCGAAAAGACCGCGGCCGGTCGGAGATATCAAAACAATGATATTATTAGGGAACACGCCGTTGTCTACTACCAAGAGAAGACGGGGAGACGCGCAAACAATAATAACACACGACCAATCCGATGTTGGATCTATAATACAAATTATTAGTGTTCGCGTCGATCGTCGGAGAGTGCTGTGCATTGCGGCCGCCCGGGAGTCCACTCGACGGCGGCCGATTGCTACTATTACTGTACAATATAATATTAAATATACAATAAAATAAAATAATATTGTACGAGAGGCCCTTAACCTCGAAACCGATAACGACGATTACGCCACCGGTTACCTGTGCAAGCTGTACACACACGCGCGAACGCGCTAGCCGAAAACCTAATTATTATCGATCGAAATTAGATATAATATAATATCATATATAAATAACAATATACGTTAATCGCACGTCTGACAAAACGATTTCATAACGCAAACACGACGCTCGTTAATAATATTATCTTAACGATCGTCGACACGTGGGGGCCGATTACACGAAAGTTCCCGTCCGAACTGCACACGAAACGGCAGATATAGAGCGAGCGAGTGTATGCGTGTGTGTGTGTGCGTGTGTGTGTGTGTGTATGTGTGAGAGTGATATAGAACGCAAAAACGAGAACCGTTCGGCGATGGGGTGTGGGTGTTGGGATGAGGGTGGTAAAAAGCTCAGTAAAATAAATCAAGAAAAACTCACTTAGAGATGTTGGAACTGTTGTGGTGTATGACGTTGGAACCACTGTGGTAGACGCCGTGGTGATTTTGCGACGACAAGTGTTGAGGGATTTGCTGTTCTGCGGTCGCGGACGACGGCGTGTACGAGTGGTCGGCGACGTGCGGCTGTTGGCACACGACAGTGGGCGAACCACAGCCGCCCTGTTGTTGGTCGTCGTGCAAATGTCCCTGCAACGGAGACGCGCTGCCCGAGTCGCTGTGCAGCGAGGCCACGAGATGCGCAAAGGGGTTTTCCTGTTGCCCGGGTCCCGCGCCGCCGTCGGACCGGGCCAAATGCAGGTCGAGTAATTCGCCTTTGGCCGCAGCGGCGGCTACCACCACTTCCTCGTCGTAACCGCCAGCCGAGCTGCCGGGGCTGGAGCAGTGTTGCTCCTGTTGCTGCTGAAGCTGCACGGACAACTGTTGCTGGTGTTCCTGGTGGAAGTACTCGTCGGCGTACACGTGCTGAACCCGGTCCAGCGGTTCTTGTTTGAGCACGATGTGTTCGAACTTTGAGTGTTGTTGCTGTTGCTGTTGCTGCTGTTGCTGCTGCTGCTGCTGCTGCTGCTGCTGCTGGTATGCCGCCTGTTGCTGGTACTCGTAAAAATCTTCGTCTTCGTCGCGCTGTTGGCCGGCGATCAATACTTGTGGGAAAATCGAGGCCATCAAGTCCCGGCCACTGCCGTACTTGGCCTGTTGATAAGTCTGAGCCACTAACATGTCGTAACGGTTGTTCGGCGACGGTCCGCTGCTGTTACTGTTGTTAACGTTGACTCCGGTCGTCGATGTCGTCGTGGTCGTTGCACTGGTGCTTGCGTGTAGCTGTGGCGGACTGTCGTGTTGCTGGTGCTGGTGCTGGTGGTGGTGTTGATGATGATAGTTCATATCATCGCGGCGTACGTACACGTTGCCGGTCGGCCGTTCGTCTGCCGTCCCGTGAACCGGTTGTTGCTGTAAACGGTCGACGGCGGCGGGCTCCTCCTCCTCCGACCCGAACGACGTCCTACCGACCGGCGCACCATCTACCGCCGGCGACCCGTAGTCGATGCTGGGCGTGCCCGCGCTCCTACCGCCATTTTCTTCGTCCGCCGCCGCGGTTACCACATCGGCCGCGCCGTCGCAACGCTGTTGCTGCTGCTGTGACGACGACGACGGCGCCGCGGCCGTTGTGGCCGCCGCCGACGACGACGATTCATCGCTCGCGTCCTCCGCAGCGGCGACTACGGTCGTCGTCACCACGTCACCGCGACGGCTGTTCAGCTCGTCGATTGTGTCCGCTGCCGCCCTGTCTTCCTCGGCGGACGTGTCAAACTCGCCGACGCAATCATTCCTTCCGTCGTCGACCAACACATGGTGCTGTAAGTGGTGGTGGTGGTGGAGCTGATGCTGGTTCAGTTGTTCTGACGATGATTCCGCCGCTACTATGGCTGATAAGCCTAAACGAAATAAACAAATAATATATTTTATAGTTTACTCGTTTTCGTATTATAAATTTATATATATAGACATAAATCCTAATAGGTTGACATGTAAACCCACTCAAGTTTTGTTACGCACGATACATAGTATTATTATAATGCGGTAACGATCTATAGGTACGTTTAAAATGGGTGCTAGGGAAAGGTTTACATTTTTTCAGAAAAAAATGAAACTATAATTTTAGTACACAATAGATTATTATGAATAACTACATCGTAGATAACATTTGATATCAATATTACGAATTTAATTTATGGATTTTAGGATACACGAACTATATATTTCTTAAATATATATAAATGTACAATAATATAAAATTTCTAAAGTGTTTGGAAGGTATTAAAGCAAGTTAAGAAGTATTTCAGGATGGGAACCTTAACGCTACTTTTAATTAAGATTTTATATATATATGCGAACGGCACTACGTCAATATCTATGCATCATTTGGTAAACATATTACACATTGCTGACAGTGAGTAGAAAATATTTCATTTGATCGATTTATTCATTCCGAATCACAGATGGTTAGGATATTTTGACTTTTGAAGAATATTATAAAAATTATTTTATCATTTCCCAAGGTAAAATATACTGATGAAAAAATAAAAAATTGTATGATATTTATATTATATCGGTAAAAGTTAAAAAAATCTGATTTCATATAATAGTTATTGAAACACGTTTAATGTTACAAACCTCCATAGTTCTATAATTCTACGATCACTATTACTCTTTACTACAGCAATAATCACGGTTAGTGTTTAATAACTGTCTTAACTGTCGAAGTGAAAAAAGTACAACCTGCAGCGTATAATATACAAGTAGGTGTCTTTAAATTTTATGGCAATGAGCAATAAATGATAATTGTATCATTAGTTATCCAAAAAGTGAATATCTGTGCGGTACAATGGTCGATTAGAACATAATAGTTATAATTTATAATATTTTATAAAAATAAATGCGTTTATTTTCATTCCTTATTATTAGCTGTTTTTCACAAAAGAATATTTTTAAGGTCAATAACACAACTTTAATCGTGCCATATACTGAACAATTTAAAATGTTAACATTCATTAAAATTCATTCATATAATCATTTTACTTTTTTAGACTTAAACATATTCAAATATCATGCGAAGTTTAAAAGAATATTATAATAAACATAACATATTATTATACGACTAAAATATTTATTATATCATACTTTTCTAAAGAAACTTATACATTTTTATTCAAGTTACACATTATTAACTGGTTATAGTATAGAAAAAACATTCTGATATACATCAAAATTAAACATAGGTATATTTTTATACTAAATTATTATATTAGGTTTATAGTATAGTAGAAACCTGCGATCTCGAATAGATATTAAAACCCAATAAATAACACTCATTATTACGTATTGATACTATTTTTCTGTGGACCAATATATATTATATATAAACAGTTCAAATAGTTTAACTGATGTTAACAAAATAAGCTTTTAATTAATATGCCTAAAGAATCTACTAGCTAGTGGACAATTATTTTAATTGTAGTTATAAAATCATCCGATTTTGAACCTTTAAAATTATCAAATATTATATACTTATTATAAACATATGTAACATTTTTTTTATCATCTATAAAAAAATATGATTCTCAAAATGTTATCAATAATAAATTATAATAATAACTCATTGCTATGGGTAAATAAATAATTATAAATAACCACACTCAATCATTCCTAAAATATACAACCTTTTGAAATTATATAATATATACCTACAGTTTAATCAATTGTATGTGTATTATAGTTTACAGTGGCGCGTATGTAGGTACATGTGGAGTGGAGTGTATTAAAACCGAGAGATTCTTTTGGACTTTTTCACTGTATAAAAAAATGAAAATAGTTTTATAAAATATACTAACACATATATTATTATGTATATTAATATAAACCATCCCTTAGAAATTTCAGTGTATCCCAATCCCACTATGGCTTAACATTTTAAAATAATTATAATAAAACATGTAGAGGATTAGAAGAATAAACTTTGCAATACCATATATATAGGTATCTATAATATTTTAATTTAATATATTTATATATTATTATAACATCTATAATCTTACGTATATTTACAATTTTGATGATATATAACTTGGGAATCGTAAGTAGAATATTATCATTTATTAATACTATACACAATGCAATGAAGTATAGGTAATATTATACTTTATGTACATTCAAATATACCTATATAGTTTTAAAAATAAATTTGCCTAAGTTTATCAAAATATAAAAGGTTTGGTTAAGTCATTAACAACTTAAGTCCATATACAATCAATTTTATAAGTTACAACTTTTAAATATTAACAACTAATTTGTCAATTTATCAAAGATACAAATACCATTTAAGTCCATAACTTAGTTAATTAAAAATATTTTAATCTATAAATATTATCAATCTGATCTAAATTGTTAATTTCTTTTAATTAATTTTTTGTTGCTTAAATAAAGTTGCGAAAGTTCCTATAAATGTATTCAATGAAACATAATTTTGTATTAAAACATATTATATTAAATATATTTAAAAATAATAAATACTAAGATACTAAAAATTTTGAAAAAATGTTTAAAAATGTATTTCTATATGTTTGTAACATTACAATAATTATACTATAATACCATATAACATATAACTAGGGGTCGGATTTATATGTAAATACATATTTTTACTATGACTTGATAAATAAATTTAGATAAGTGATAAATTCGTTTTAAGGGATTTCCAATAAAATGAACTACATTTTATTTTACATATTTTTACATATTTTGCCATAAGTACATGTTTTTACATATTTCTCAACAATTTCATTTTTTCCTACATATTTCGACAATTTGTTAATTTATGATTTATTAATAGCTATCAAAAGTATTCTCTGCAGTAATGGTCGTTCTCCTGAATTTTCATTGAATATAGAACTTACTTTTTCAGACATAGTCAAAATGCAATACTGTCCAATAACATTAGTAGAAGTCGAAGGATTATTTAGTTGTTATAAAGCAGTTTTACGACCAAATCGAAGGTCTTATGAATTTGAAAATTTAAAAATGCGTGTGATCATAAATATAATCAAGATAATTAATTTTTTTCAGTTTTTTTTTTTTAGTGTTTTTTATTTATATTTTTTCATTTTTTTAATAATTTTACTATTTAAAATATAATTTGTTTCATTAGTAACTCATATGAATATATTAAATAATTAAATATTATTAAATAAATCATATTAGTAAAATACATATTTTGAGTGTTTTAGCACATATTTATGAAAATATTTTGGTTTCATAAATACATATAAATCCTAGTCCTACATATAACTAAATGTACTTATACTATAATACATGTATATGCTATTACTATGCATAATATAACTAATATATATATAATACATTATAGTTTTCTACTAGTTAATAATTATATAAGTTTAACTGTATCGTATGATAAAATATTTATATATATTTATCCAAAATGTATAATAGTAATAAACTAAAAATTTTCATAAAAATATCTTAAACACGCCACTGAATTGTATCATATAATATAACGTATAATATTAGCTAAGAATATGTTAATAAAATACATAATATAAATAAAATAAAGATATTATCTTTGGTATCTACAAAAATAATACCAACACAAACTTTTAAAATTTATTGTTGCTTAATTATGACTGATATAAGCACACTATCACAATGCCACATAATTTGTTTTCTCTCTCTCTCTGATATACAATCAACGTAGCAAATTTGCGTTATGCAAAACTGATTTTGTGTTGTTTGCTTTAACATTAAGGCTTATTTGTAATCAAACTTAAAGTTAGGAAAATTTAAATACCTATGGTAAAAAACTTTAAGTACAAACACTGATAAGTACTGTACTACTGCGATATTTACACTCTAATATGTATATTCATTATTTTCAATCAATGAATATTGCAAAATTTAAAACTAAGATTTATAGATAGAGAAATATGTAAAATTTAAGGTATATTTAAGCCAAAATATTGAAATAGATTAGTTAAGATTTTATACCTATTCATTAATCTCTACCACTAGTAAATCATAGACTTTAAATTATAAAATGTGAAACGAATTACCATTAAGCTATTAACAAAAATATCAGATAGTTTATATTTTAAACTATTTAACACTTAGAATAAAAATCAGATAACAAACCAATATTTAATTTATGGGTGTTTTGGATTTGATGATAAACAATCAAGAACAAAAATTAAATATAATTTTCATCTGGGTGTCGAATTCGAACATCTCTAATATGATAATCTCGAATAAAACTACCCAATGTGATAACCTTTTTTAATATGGGATTAAACATCAGAGAGGTCAAATCACTAATACTGTAGGTCAATATAATATGATAAGGACATATATTTACAATTCGTTGAGGGAGGTCTATACAGTGAGGATGGTCAATTCAGCCCCTATCATACTAGAGTCAAATTACAACATGAAACTAAAATTCGACGTATCGATATTTATGGGCAATATAATGTTCCTTTTGTTTATAGAAAGTATTTAATTTTTACAATCTATTCGTTACTAGATAATACTTGATATTAGTAGATAAAAGTAATAGACACTGCAATATTTCATTTGATATTATTTTAGAAGCAATATATATTTCCAAGTTACAATAATGTCTTTGAGGACAATTTGTTTACCAGCGTTATAAAAGTGAAGAAAAAAAAACTAAGCCAAAATTAACCCTACGCAAACAAAGGGTTCCCATGGTTTTTATTTACAGTAAGCCTCGTAGTATAATGGAAACAGGACCTCAGGTGTGAATCAATAGCCGGTTTGTTTAGGCCCATACTCTCTCACGCCGGTACACACGGATACACTTAACCGATTTTTACTTTTCGACACATATACAATAAAAAATACGAAA